TTTTTTGCCATTTTTGACAAAAATAGAGTTGGGGAGCTCGGTTTGGGCGATATTCAGAGGAGAATTTCTGCCTGTTTCTTCTCTCCCCTCCCACCTCCCCCCTTCTCCCTCCCCCNTATTATTTCATTTTATCTTATTCTGTTGAAGTGAAAACTGAAAAGGATTAGGAAACCTGATTACAACTAGAGGAATAGTTTTGGCAAATCATGTTGATTGAATCGTTGTGCTGTGTAGGGGTGTACAAACCGAATCGAAAATTGCACCAAATCGAAAAGTCAAATCAAACCGATTAAAAAATCCGATTAGGTTTGGTTTGGTATTGAGTAAAAAAATCATTAACCAAAACAACAACAACAACAACAACAACAACAACAACAACAACCACCCAGTATAATCCCACTAGTGGGGTTTGGGGAGAGTAATGTGTACGCAGACCTTACCCCTACCCTGAGGTAGAGAGGCTGTTTCCGATAGACCCTCGGCTCCCTCCCTCTAAGAACTCCTCACCTTGCTCTTGGGGTGACTTGAACTCACAACCTCTTGGTTGGAAGTGGAGGGTGCTCACCACTAGAGCAACCCACTCTTGTCGGACATATAAATATACAATATAATCATGTTGATTTAATCGTTGTGCTGTGTAGGGGTGTACAAACCGAATCGAAAACCGCACCAAATCGAAAAGTTAAACCAAACCGATTAAAAAATCCGATTATGTTTGGTTTGGTATGGAGTAAAAAAATCATTAACCAAACCGACATATAAATATATAATTTTTAGGCCAAATTGGTGTACGTCCCCTTAAACTTGGCTCCAGTTTCCATTTTGACACCTTAACTTAGTTCTTTTCCTATTGAACACTTTAACTGTACTTTGGACTATACTATTTAAACACAATGCATGACCGGGCTGTAAAAACTTAAGCGCATGTTTTTAAACGCTTCCCCACGTGGAATAACATACCAATAATAGTCTGACACGTGTTTATTTATCCAGGTCGGATAAAAAATCCCGTTTTTACCTTACCCACATACCTCGCCTCACTTAATCGATCTTCCACCCAAAATTTCCTTTCTTTAGCCTAATAAACCCTAATAAACTACATTGAGACCGATTTCCGGTGGAATCTTCATCGCTTTTGAGTTAGATTCAACTGTCCGTCAACTATTTGGCCATTATATTACTAATACGGGTAATCATTTGCTTCTTTTGACCGTGGTGGTGAGTGGAGTTGGTCGTAACTGGAGCTGGTCCTGACTGGAGTTGGTCGTGACTGAAGTTTTGAGGGTATAGACATGTCTGCAGACGAATATATTCTTGTTGATTTTCACCATGGTGGACATATTATCAAGGATCCTTTCCCGAGATATGTAGGAGAGAGGGGTGAGGATGGTCACATGATAGACAAGGACCACTTTTCTCTTTTTGAGCTTATGTCCTACACAAAGAATATGGGTTATGCTGAGGTAGAGGGTTTTTATTTAATTAATCCTAAATCTAATGACTTTGTCTTGATTGAAAATGATGAACAACTATATAATATAGTTTGTCACCTTAATCATCTTGATCATTTAGATTTGTATATTAAGCATGCAGTTAATGAGCCTGTATTGCTTGATGAGACTGTCCCATGTGGCCTTTTATGTGGGCCAGAAATTATTGAACCAAGTGAAAATACATTAAATAAAGAGGCTAGGGCAACATCTACTGTTCCAGAGGATATAAATATCCAGAGAAGTGCTGCAAATAACACATCTGTGCCTGAGGAAAACCTAGCTGATGCTGGGGTTGCAGGTGAGAATTTACAAGGGGCTGAAGAAACAACAAACATAGATGCTAGTTTGGCATCAGTTTTTTCAAGTAGTGAATCTGAATTAGATAACATTCCTGATGAAGATGATAGTGATGTGAATGAAGAGCTCACTTCATTAAGGCATGAAAGAAGAAAGAAGAAAAAACAGAAGAAATAAAGAAAGAAACTTACTCCAACTGAAGAGATTATTCTGGGAGAAACTGGAATAGATAAAGGCTTTGAGGATATTGGCAGACCATCTAAGGAGGACAGGTTTGCTGAAAAATTAGGAGGGGATGAAGACTACTATACCAGTTATGATATTGGAAGTGATGATAGCACATATGAGTTAGATGTTTTAGCTGAACGAGGTATTGACTTACCTTCTAGAAGGTGAAGTAAAAAGGTAAGGTTTGACCCTGACCGTTACCTTGCTATTTTTGAGCTTGGTATGGTATTTGAAAATGTTGTAGAGTTTAGAAAAGCAGTAGCCTCATATGTTGTGGAGAACAAAGTATAACTAACAATTAGGCCTAATGAAAAAGATAGGGTTAGAGTTAAGTGTAAAGGAGCCAAGTATAACTGGGAATTGTATGCAAGCAATTATGGAGATTCATGTGACTTTACTGTGAAGAAGTACCATCCAGCTCATAAGTGAAACACCAAAAATAAGAATAAATTATGTACTTCTAAGTACATTGCCAATAAGTATAAAGATAGGATTATTTCCCAGCCAAATATTAAGTTGTGGGAGATTCAAGATTTGGTCAGGGATAAGTTAGGTTTGTATGTTGGAAGGACTATTTGTTACAGGGCTAAGTGTAGGGTGATAAGTCAATTCATGGGTGACTGGAGGATGGAATTTAACAGACTTGCTGATTATGCTGATATTATTAAGCAAACAAATCCTGGGAGTTCATGCTGAATCAAAACAGATAGTGAGACTATTCCTCGCAAGAATCTGTTTGTCTATTTCTATCTATGTTTAGATGCTTTGAAAAAAGGATGGTTAGAAGGGTGCAGAAGGATTATAGGATTTGATGACTGTTTTCTAAAGGGAATCTGCAAGGGTGAGTTACTTGTTGCAGTTAGTAGAAATGGGAACAATCAAATGTTTCCTATTGCATGGGTTGTAGTTGATCAAGAGACAAAATACTCCTAGAGCTGGTTCATCACATATTTGATTGCAGATTTACAGTTGGGAGATGGTGTTGGCTTAACTGTTATGTCAGATATACAAAAGGTAAACTTATAATCAACTTTTAATTTTTCTTTTTCCTGCTTTATATATACTGTCCACTAACAATTATTACTATTTTTTGTAGGGACTAGTACCAACTATAAGAGAATTACTACCAATGGCAGAACACAGAATGTGTGCTAGACACATTTGGTCTAACTGGTCCAAGAACTGGAGAGGTGAAGAAAGGAGAAAAGAATTCTGGAGATGTGCCAAAGCATCTTATGAAGTAAAATTCAATGAAGAACTAGAAGCAATGAATAGGCTTGGTTATAAGATATGTGAAGACTTGTTGAAGTATGATAAATAGTATTGGTGTAGGGCATACTTTAGAGAAGATTTAAAGTGTGATGTCATTGAGAATAACATGTGTGAAACATATTTAATTCTTGGATAGTAGGTCCTAGGCACAAGTCTGTTATAACTATGTTGGAAGAAATTAGACATAAAATCATGAATAGGACCATTGAAATGAGAAAGTTTGGTGAGACTTGGGTTACTGACATTGCACCAATGGCTAGGATGATACTGGAAGAGAACAAAGCCGTTTCTAGGAGGTGTAAGGTTATGTGGAATGCAGAACATGGGTTTGAAGTTGATAAAGGTGTGTACAGATTCATTATTGATTTTAGGACCATGACATGTACTTGTAGATCATGGATGTTGAGGGACATTCCATATCAACATGCAGTATGTGCATTCTATGATAGAGAAATGGACCCAGATGATTATGTTGCCCACTGGGTATAGGAAGAAAACTTTCCTTAAAGCTTACCAGCATTTCATTCAACTAATTCCCAACATGAAGATGTGGTCGGATTCAACAAATCCATCTATAGAGCCTCCGGAACCTAAACCTATGCCAGATAGACCAAAGAGATGTAGGAGAAAAGCCAAGGATGAACCAAAAAAAAAGCATGGTAAACTATCAAAGAAAGGGGTAAAGATGACTTGTTCAAACTGCCAACAAACAGGACACAACAAATCTGGATGCAGGAAAGGGGTAAGTTCTAATATTTGTAATTCTGCCTTTTACATTCTTTTTTTGCAATTCTGATATTCTTTTCTTTTACTTTTGTCAGCATGTTCCAAGAAGTGCTACTCAGCAAAGTCAAAACATGCCACCACCTCCACCAAGATCATCTCAGGAAATACCATCTCAACAAAGCAATCGATCCTCCATATGTGAGGATACAAGTGTTGTCAAAAGACAAAGCAACAGCCAATCAACTGGGCTTGGTAGAGGAAGAGGAAGAGGAAGAGGCCATGAACTAGGTAGGGGAAAAGGAAGAGGAACTACACTAGGAGGAGGCTCGGCTAATACAGCAACCATTGGACATAAAAGGCCAAGGCATACTGGTTTTGGGATTTTCACTGACACTATGACTGGAACTACTATCCTGAATGTAAGGGTGTATAGTTTATTATAATGCAGTTTTGTGGGCTGGAATTGTTCTATTTTTTACTAATTTATTGTATTTTATAGCCTGGTATATCATCTGAGAGAGTCATATTAGTTGGGACATTCAAGGATACATCTGCAATTAACATAGACATTGGATTTAAGCCTCCCGGATTGAAGTTTAAAGGAAGAAATGCAGTGATAAGGTCATAACTTCAGCAAATGAGTGCAGCAAGGAAAAAAGGTTCTTCAAGTCAAACAAGTTCAGATGCATCTACACTGTGAAGCAGGCCAGTTTTTATTTATGTTATCTAAGATGTCACTACAATTTTTTTGTTTGGGCAGTTATGCTCTATTAGAATTTACTAGTTTGGGCAGTTATATGTTTGGGAAAATAATGCTCTATTGTTTTTGTAATTTGTAGACCAAAACAATGCTCTATTTTTGAGCTTGGATGCAATGCTAGTCCATCACATTATGCAATGGAATGTTTAGGCAGTTATGTTTTCAATTCATGAATATGAATTTGCATTTCATTCATAACACAATATGGAAGTGCAGCTGAACTTAAATTTGCATTAAAAATTGGCCATTTGCATTTCATTCATTACAAGATAATGTACATTAACAAAAGGCCAAATTCCTAGTACTTACTTCCAACATACTATATTTTTCTTGAACTAATAGCAGCAACTACAACACTATTAGCACCAGCATATCATAAAAATACTACATTATTCTTCAAACCACCAGCATCACCAAAGCCAAATCCATAGAAACAACACCACCACCACAACAAATAACCACTTCAGCCGCGCAACTATTTTCTCAGTTCTTTCGACTCTCTTCAACAGACCCCGTATAACCCTCTTAGCTTGGTCAAGCATTTTATCATCATGCCATCTGAAATATTTGCAGCCACCTCGACCCTACAAAATTCAAAAATAAATGCGGCCAAAAAAATTAAAAACAAATTTCTTTATTAAGAAATTCAAGGGTCTAACAAAAACAATACGACCGACTTACCAATTTACAACCATAAAATCGGCGACCTGAATTTGCAGATGACCATGATATAGTCAGTGGCGCATTAAATCCACAGTGGCAAATTTTCATTCCATTGCGAGAAGTTGTTGATTTTTGTGACATGGAACTGATAAACGAGAAAGATGAGGAAGAAATCAGATCAAGATTCAAGCTTGGGCACCTAAGCTTCAGTAGAAAGGGAAAATGGCGAATTTGAAAGGGAAGAAGACGAAAGAGGAATTAGGGCATTCTTGAGAGAAAAATGAAAAAATCGGGTATTTTAAAATGGGTCTAACGGGTGAGTTTTATTTTTACCATTGAAATATCCACCTAAGCAAATATTAATAACATTCACACGCTTATCATGTGTGGAGATAACGCTCCTTTGGTCGGACATGCGTTGTGTTTAAATGGTATACACCAAAATAGAATTAAAGTGTTCAATAGGAAAAGCGCTAAATTAAGGTGTCAAAATAAAAACTGGAGCCAAGTTTAAGGGGCCGTCTATATATTTGCCCTAATTTTTATATATACTTTTATGACTTTTCATAGAATATTTTAAAAAAATATCTAGAAATATTTGTGATCCTCTTATGGGATGTAATATTTAGTTAAATATGAAGTGTTCTATTTTTATTAACTTTAAATAATGAGTTATATGATCACTTTATTATCAGGTGTTAGTGAAATGCGTTAATTTCTTTGTTCTTCCATATTCATATGTCAAGATCTATTAAAATTTTATATTATTTTTGAATTTAAAGTGGTATTTCGATAATTTAAGATTAAATAGAACATATCATTATATATGTATCATTTTTTTTTATGTTTAATTATTAAATTCAGTTAACCTTGAAAGTGTACATCAACGAAAAATTATTGTCAGGCGACTAAAAACATAACTATCATATGTTTTACTAAGAAAATTCTCCCATAAGAATATGTTAATAGATCATATATGTTTGTCAATTTTTTTAATTTTTACTAAACATATATTTACCTATAAAAAATTTAACAAAGGTAGATTGAAATAATATTCATGTAACAAAAAAATCCGAAAATTCGAAAAATCTGACAAAGCCAAACCAATCCAAACCGATATAAATGGTTTGATTTGATTTTGATAAAAACCGAATCAATCCGGTCCATGTACACCACTAGTGCTGAGGTAAACAATCCATCATAAGTTTCACAATTAGTTCAATTTTTTTCTGTTAACATCATTAAATAAATAGAATAAAAAATAACATGTTAAGGAATTATATTACTTATTATATGGTTTCCATTGGAACTTTTTTTTACTAACTCTAATCATGGTCTCAGCACTATCAATTTATCCTGGCAACAAAGAGGAAACTTATATGAAAAAAAATAATCCACATAAAATTCGATAATCAGGAATTCAGTGCCATTAGCTTTATGTTGTTGCTCTCTTATTTACAGTTTGTATAGATTCGTGCATGAGTTTCCTTAAACAAAGCTATTTGATAATCGATCATGTAAACGAGCATTAATGAAGTCTTATTCGGCTGTTTTGTTTTTTCTTTCTTTTATTTTTTGTGCATTTTAGAGTAAGCTTCTTTATTCAGATAAATTAGTATCAAATCAAAGGGTCCACCCATGTGGGCTAATTTTTATCGCTTAATCTTTTCGTTCAACATGAATCAAAAGTAACAAGTGTGACTATGTCTTATATCAGCATGAATAAAAAAGAAGTCTGCTCGTCTCTTTTTAAACAAGAATGATAAAAAGCAGAAACATCCAATAAGACATAATCCTAGCTTTTTTTCTTTGTATCTTTTATTCCAATTTGATTGTTTAAATTAAATTAAAAGTTGAGATAAGTGTTATATCTGTATTTAATTGTGCCAAACTAGCCCAAGAATATTATCTTACCATGTGATATTATCCCAAAACCTTCACACAACTTAGCATATTCCTACGTACGCATTGTAAGTCATTTCTTTTTCTTACTAACTTTTTATATGGTATTTTGTTTGCACGCCCTATACCTCATAATTACAAAATTGCTGATAGTGTTGAAAAAATTGATTATGGAGAATAAGAATTAGCTTGAGGCGTATTAAGAATAGTGTTCTTAAGAATATTTCGCCTACACAATAAAAAATAAAATTAAACGTATAATTTAACAAACTCTTCTAGTTATATAACTCAATAAAGAAACCATCAGCATAAGGGGAAGAAGATTGAGAAAGTTGGTACGTACAAATTGCATTAAAGCGCGGGGACATTGGAATGGATTAGCCATATCCATTAAATTCTAGTAGGCAGTAGAAAGTTTTGATAGGTCCACTCTGAGATTCCCAAAGAGAAATTAATCTTTGGTGAAAAAGGTGATAGGCAACGTCTGCATGAGCTGTATATGTTCACGATTTATGGAACAGAACACGAGTCTTCAAATAGCATCTGGCCGGTGTAGACTCTAAACTGATCCTTTGGAGATGGAGCAATTGATTTTTGGCTCCGCCACCCCTAAATCTTTCCTCTCTCGTACAAGATATATAGCAATGGCATTGACTGGACACTTTCATTTACTTTTGATTTTTCTTGTTCTTTGATCAATAGGTATTCAGATGGTCATGGTTATTGGTTAATGATTAAATAATCAAAGCGCAAGCAGCTGAAGTTGATGCCAGCTAATTGCGACTTTATTGTTGCTTATAGCCTACCAACTTTATCATAGATTGATTATATGATTTCTTCAACAGCTAGCAATACGTCAAGCCAATAGTAATACTACATCCGTTCCAATTTATGTGAATCTGTTTGACTGGGCATGAAGTTTAAGAAAAAAATAAAAACTTTTAGAATTTGTGCTTCTAAACAATTCAAAAAGGGGCCTAGAATATTTGTGTGGTTATAAAAGTTTCTCATTAAGAGTAGAATTGTAAGTTTAAGCAAAATTATTTCCAAATTTAGAAAGGGGTCAATCTTTTTGGAACAGACCAAAAAAGAAATAAGTTCACATAAAGTGAAACGGAGGTAGTATTAATTTAGCAAGAGTCCCGTGATTGTAATTGTATATATATATACATAATGTTGTAGTATCTGCTTAGGTACTGGACTACATAGATCTATGGTTCAGTCGTGCCCGGTGTCATGCTCATGCAGGTTATTATTGTATATGGTAAAATATGATACGATATGTGGCTGACTAAAAGGAGGACACGTGGAATTCAAGATGGGATGGTTGAGGACTAAACGCAGCCACTGCACCTGTCACCGGAACGGATAACGTTCATAAAAGTATATTAAATACTCTGCGCCCGGTAGCATTTACTAAGGATTATTCTATAACATTAAGAGCGTCGGTCTGTTATAAAGAATTTGACATTTATCCTCAACATTACATCTTCATCAAAGACCCTTATAATTGGCATTAAAGGAGGGCATGATCCCACGACCCTTTTTCCTAGGCATAATTATAAATAGTGAGCTCACTTACCATAGTAAATGACACGAATTTTCTGGCAAGAATATATACTATATTCTATATAAAGTTGTATACAATTTCACTTTCTTACTTTTAGATCCCATCATTACTGTGTTCGGAAACCATGTTCACGGAATCATCATCTTTGCTATTTCATCTACATTCTAAGGCTAAGTATTGTGTATTTATTCAATTATTATATTATTACATGATTAAATTAGTTCATTTGTCTAGAAACCACGTATAAATTCAATTGTACTATTTTACGGGCAAACAGTTTGGTGCCCACCGTGGGGCCTAGACAGTCGTGCAATTAAATTGATCCTTGCCTTTTTTACTAATATTTTTTTGACTACTTTGTCATAGAAAAAATCGCAAAAAATGGCAGACAACACTATTAACGATGCACACAACCCTGATATTCGAGGAGATCAGCCTCATTTCATGGACTCGATCAGTAACACCCACAATAAGGAGAATGATGCCACGCCGGTGCATGACCGAAGGTACCCTCGACAGGTTTGGGAGACAACCCCCGACGATGCTGACGAGGAACAAGTAGCGGATGCTGTGAGGATCCTACAAGAGCAATCGACAATCATTCTAGTCCATCTCACGCGGCAGGATCAAGTTATGATGGAACTAAAGCAGGCACTATCAGGTGCTTCGAATAATGCAAACAGGCGCGACCCGGTTCCTCCCGTTGTTCCCACAGACCAAACAACGCAGAGAATCGACAATAACACTCCCAGGGGTGAAGTTGGCTACGATGGGGCTAGGGGAGTAGATCAGGTCTTAACAAAGAGAACAATTCATTCAAGGATGAGATTTTACGGTTCATGAGGGAAGGAAACGCCTGCATGGATCAAATCCCGGGCTCACCACCAGTATTGAAAAGCCCAAACTTGAAGAAGTATGTTCAATTACCGTACAAGACAAGTACGGCACCAGAACTAATCCCGAAGCATTTCAAAATGCCTGAAGTTCCAAAGTATGATGGAACTTCAGACCCGCAGGAACATATTACTACCTACACAACGGCGGTGAAAGGAAATGATCCAGTTCCTCACGAAATTGAATCTGTATTGCTAAAGAAATTCGGCGAACTCTCACGAGGGGAGCCTTAACGTGGTACTCATTACTGCTTAAGCATTCCATAGATTCTTTTAAAATGCTCGCGGATTCTTTCATTAAAGCTCATGCCGGGGACAGAAAGGCGCAAGCCCGAAAGGCCAACATATTCAAAATCGCACAGAGAGAATCAAAATTATTACGAGAGTTTGTTACCGGGTTCCAAAAAGAAAGAATGTTGCTCTCGGTCGTCCCAGACGAATGGGCAGCTGAAGCATTCATCAAAGGATTAAATCTGAGAAGTTCAGACGCTTCCCAAAAGTTGAAGGAGAGCCTGCTTGAGTTTCAAGCAACAACCTGGGAAGATGTTAACAACCGGTATGAGTCGAAGATAAGGATCGAAAATGACCAGGTCGGTTTTACATCATTGGCCAAAGGACGAGAGAAGAACCGAGAAAAATCAAAGGATGACTACGACGCGGATATGCGGGCTACGAGGGGTCTGTTTTTGCCCTACGAGTGTACCGAAGGTTGTGGCAGAAATTTCCGTGCATCAACCAAGTTCACCGTTGCCAGAGGGACTGATCATGGTCGAAACAATAGATCACTTCAAGATAAAGAAATGTCGGGGTCTCGAGATCTTTCTTACCCCAGGTTATCAGAATATAACTTCAACGCTAGTGTAGTGGAACTGGTGTCAGCCATGAGGAACATTAAAGAAGCATAATTCTCAAGACCTATGAGGTCCAATTCCATCTAGAGGGATCCCAATTTATGGTGTGAATACCACGGGACGAACGATCGTCGGATATGGGACTACTGACATCTTTAGGAGGATGTGGCAATGCTATTGAAGAATGGTCATATCCGAGAATTATCGAGTGACCGAGCTAGGAGTAATTACGATCACAACAGAGAGCAGAATCCTCAAAAGCAGGAAAAGAAACCCCACTCCAAGTGATCAACATGATCTTTGGGGGGGACGAGATACGAGGTCACCTTTTCGGTGGCAAAGAAGACTAAAGTATCGATAACTCACAACAAAATACTCTAGGAGGACGATATCACTTTCATGGAGGAAGACGCAGATGGATTGTTGTTACCACACAACGACGCATTGGTAATCTCTTTAAATGTGTTAGATTTTAAAATTAAGCGTGTTCTAGTGGATCTGGGAAGTTCGGCTAATATCATACAATAGAGAGTATTGGAACAAGCTAAACTCACTCGAAGCATTATTCCGGCGACAAAACTCCTCGCTGGATTCAACCTTGCGAGCGTGACAACCCGGGGGAAGATCTTGCTGCTCACAAATGCTGAAAGAGTAATGAATATAACTCTCTTCAAAGTAGTGGATAGTGATATGGGATACAACATCATCTTAGGAAGGCCATGGTTACACGCGATGAAAGGTGTACCTTCGACGTATCACCAACTGTTGAAGTTTCTAATGCCCGAAAGAATTAAGCAGTTAAGAGGTTACCAACCGGCAGCAAGGGAGGTGAATGCAATCTCAATTTCCAGTAGCAAAGGGAAGGAGCACACGACATAGCAATTACAAGAACGGGCGCCTACTCCTGTACGAAATGAAGAAGGAATTGAAAATTTTCTCTGTATATTTCATCATTGTTGCTATACATGTATATATACACTTACATCTGAAGAATAAAGAATGGCAAGAAAGAGAAACTATGTACACATGTCCTATTCTAATTTGCCTAATAATAACAAATTTATTCTTTCTATCAACTAACTATATTCCCTAACATGTTAGTCACGTGAGGGAAGCTTATAGAATTAAGACTATCAAATGGTTTATAATTAATCCATCATGAATTGATTTGCTTGATCCAAAGGTTGTGAGTCTTCCATGTGGTCCAAACAAAAACCACTGACTATGACTTATGTAATATGGGTTATATCGAAGATAGCCACTTTGGTCGGAGAACACATGAGATCCTTCTAGGTCTTCTTATTCTTCTTCATTCCCTCTACTCCATCTGAAAGCAAAGCTCCATGAAAATCAGAATTAAGATGGGGTTTCTTCTTCTCAACATCCCCCCTCAAGTTGAAGGGGAACTTTGTGACCCCTAACTTGACCAAAATCTCGCGATGAGAAACTACAAAGAAAGGCTTTGTGAAGAGATCTGCGAGCTGATCTTTAGAAGGAACAAAAGAAAGAGTGATTAGCCCTGAAAGAAACTGTTGGCATATAAAATGACAATCAATGTCGACATGTTTTGTGCGTTCATGAAAAATGGGGTTACGGGTGATGTGGATTGCTTCTTTGCTATCAAAGTGAAGAGGAATTGGTAGAGTGACCGGTGCAGAGATATCCTCAAGTACTCGTACTAACCACGTAAGTTCTGCAATGACCCTTCTCATAGATCTGTATTATGCTTTTACAGAATATAAAGAAATTGATGCTACTTCTTTGATTTCTAGGAAATAGGAGCTCCTCCTAGTGTTATGAAGAAACCACTGACGGGCCTCCTTGAATCCTTGCAAGAAGCCCAATCAGCGTCGCAAAAATGCTAGCAAAGAAAATGATGGTTCTGCTAAAAGGAGAATGCCTTGACCTGGATTAGAGCTGAGGTATTTGAGTACTCGTAGAGCAACAGAGAAGTGATTTATGCACGTATGGACCGAGGGTGAGCACCGCAAAAGAGAGATCTGGTCGAGTATTAGTTAAATAATTTAACTTTCCGACCAAGTGACGAAATACAGTGGGATTTTGCAGGGGGTGTCCATCATCAGCTTGAAGCTTGAAGCTTGAAGGAAGGATCCAAGGGGGAGCTGACTCGAGTCAAATGAGACACATCAATCTCCTTCAACATATCTAAGGTAAATTTCCTTTGACTGTTGAATTAATTCTTTTCTATCAAGATTTCCATGCCTAGAAAGTAGTGTATATTTCCCAAATTCTTGACTTTAAACTCAGTATTCAGAAAGTCTTTGATGCTTTGAATTTCGTCTAAGTCATCTCCTGTGAGTAGTATGTCATCAACATAGACAAATAGGATAGATATAAGACTTCCTGTGCATTTAAAGAACAAAGAA